GAATAGTATCTCCTTGGGTATCTATTAAGCATTTGAATCATAATACACTTAAATTAAATTTTCCATCTCAAGCCTGATCTTCTTGTTGTTTTTCCCATCTCTATGAATAGCCATCCACCATCCCAGACACTTAGGCAAAATCTTGAATTCTCTCTTTCTTTCATACTTTACATCCAGTCTATAAAGTTATTCTGTCGTGCCTGTTTTGCAAACACTTTGAAAAGATTCATTTCTCATTCAAAATAGAAGTCAAAGTTATTACAGAGACTGTACGGCCCTAACTTATTTGGCCTTTGGATAGTTCTTTGACCTCTGATCCTCTACTCTCTTTATTGCACAGTTACCATGCAATCATATTAAAATCTTCTTACTATTCTTGGAATACATGTGGTATGTTCCCCTCCCATGACCTTTGCACATTAGCATCTCATTTGCCTAGAACAGCTCATTCCATACAAAAATGTCCTCCTTCTTCACTTCCTTTAGGTAGTTACTCAAAAGTCAGCTTATATGGGATGCTTTACCTGACCATCTATACCTTTGGCATATTACATATTTATTTGTTTATTGACTCAATCTCCACTAATCCTAGAGGAATTATTCAGTATCCCTAATCCTAAAGGAATTTCTCATTTGTAGGAGGCACTCCATGAATATTTATTAAATAACTGAAGAAGAATAAATGTGTCAGAATTTTTGTGTGGTTATGGGCAAGGAAAAGGAGTTGATAGTATTTTTCTTCTCCAGTTGCCAACCTAAATCTGGGATATGGGAAGAAACTGAAAGATTTATGCATTTGGTGTTACTCAGAACAGTAGATACTCAGATGTAAAGGTTCATGCTATATAATGGCAATGAGTGTTTATACACATTCTGTAAAAACTAGAGCAAGCATCATCAGGCATCAAAGGCAGTGAAGGCTGTACACAAGGAACAGATGAAGAACTGTGTTAAGGAACTGATGTTACAAGAATTGTGTTTATGGTGATACCAAAGGGAGTCTCTTGAAGTAGCAGCAGTGACAGGGGGAACTAAGTCATTCATGAAAAAATATGAGGCATCTCCTGGTGACATCCAGAAATAATTATGGTGGATACTTGCAACAGACATTGTGTCTCCAAGATGGAACAATACTCCATCAAAATGGGGGAGCTAATTTTATTGTAGTCTAATGTACCCACAGACACATGAGGCCTGAGAAAAATTTGAGTTATAAGAAATTAGTTTCAGAATAGTTTTTTACTTCTTTCTTACTTTTACAATTGGCTTTAATTAATTTTTTTAACCAAATCTTCATTTAGAGTATGTCTCAACATGAAAAATCTTTGTTTTTTAAGATTTATTTATTTATGCATACAAGAGCTGGGGTACAGGCCAGAGATGGGGGAGGGTGAGAGGATTCACCAGAGACAGAGTGGGTAACAGAACAGCCAGACTGACTGAAACACACTGCTGAGGGGAGTAGTGGGCGAGACAGGAGAGGTCTGCTTTGCCATCAACATGAAAAATCTTATTTAGGAAATGTCCCTTTCTGACATCCCATACTTGGCTCATAGAGAAAAGGAAAATCTAGAGATAAAAGTAATGGCAGTAGATAACACCAGTCAGTAGAGGCAGGAAGTACATGAACTTTGAAATCAGAAAGGCTTCTATTCAAATCATGTCTCTATCTTATTGGTATGTGGTTATAGGAAAATTTCTAATTTTTTTCTGAGTCTGTTTCCTAATATTTAATATGTGTGTTTAATTTAATGCCTGTTTCCTCAATATTTAGCATGTCTTGGAAAAAGCATAACAATCAGAGAATTTTCTGACAATTAGCATTAGTTTCTCAGTCATACCAGTTTTCTAAGAATTTGGTTTCTTATAATTTAAATTTTCTGGATTTGAGGTGTTTTCTATAGCTTTCCAGATGAATTGTTTCATATATCTTTTTTTTTGATTTTAAGATTCAGATGTGGCTATTTTGCATTTCCATTGCCAATTGGTTGATGTAAAAAATTTAGAGTCATTTCACATCAAAAAATTTAAATTCAGGACTTTGTTGAGACCCTGATGACTTACACAAGAGCATGTGTTGCTCAGACTTTGCTCATCCTCTAGCAGGGATGTTGGTGTAGGGCTTTCCTCCCAGGTTTCCGTGCATAATATATATAGTGAATTATACTATACCTCTAGAGGGGCAACGTGGTTGTAGAAGCAGACATATCCAAGCTCAAATCTCAACTCCCTTAACTACTAACTCCATATCTTTGGGCAACTTACATAACATTTTTGGGCTTTATTTTCTTTTTTGCAAAACTTCATAATGGTAATAATTACCTCAGAAGATTGTCCTGGTAAATGAACTAGAATGTGTGATGTCCCTAGCCTGTGTTCTCCACAGATACAAATTTCTTCACCTTCCCAGTTCTGTCACTAAAGAGACTAAAAAACCAAGGGTCAGGGATTTTCCCCAGCATCGATGGTGGTGAACAAGGTGTATATGGACCAGACATGTTCATATTTAATGCAAATGAGATTTGGGGCAGCTAGAGAGGAAGAGTTGAAGAACCAAAGTTGAAGAGTTACCATGAAAGCCGAGACCCCACCTTGACCATCTCGCAACTCAGGAAAGAACCAGCGATAGGACTGCTAAAGGCTTATTCCACTTCTCTATTTTATATGGGACACAGACCAAGACTTAGTGAGCCACCAGAATGCTTTCTACGACAGGCACTGAGTCATCTATAACAAGATACTTGCATCTTGTTTCTACCAGATTCATTAAACCTCAGAAGGGATCAATGAGGAAAAAAACAGATTCAGAACCAATCTCACTTGTAGAGGACTGAAGGACATCCCTTTACATTTCATTTCTATGTCAGAAATTTAATTTCAGGATATCTTTTATATAGAAATAAAGATGGGTCCAAATTCAATGACTGATCTCCTTGTAAGAGAGAAGACCCACAGGCTAAAGAGATCCTTGGCGAGAGAGAGGGGCAGAGAATGGAATAATTAGCTACAAACCCAAGAACACCAATGATTGCTAGGAGACACAGGAAGCTAGGAAGAGGGAAGGAAGGAGTCTTCCCAAGAACCCCCCAAGGGAGCATGGCCTTGATGAAGCTTGATTTTACACATTCAGCCTCTGGAACTATGAGAGAGCAACTTTCTTTTTTTTTTAATCCACCGAGTATAAGGTCATTTGCTATTGCTGCTGTAGGAAGTAATGTGCCCCTCTATCTCACATCAGGATGGCATGAGTTTTTATAAACTCTTCTGTCAGTGGTGACTACTTTTCTTTTCCCTCTTCAGTTCCTTTTCATTTCACCAGTTTTTCTTCCTGCCACTCTCACCAAAACATTCAGGTGGCAGGTTCTAGTCCATCTTCTACACTTCTTGGGGTGGCTTCTAACTTTACAACTTAGTGTGTATTGGCCTGATAGTGGCTAACACCAGCACACAGCAGGGCTGACAGAACTTTTGGCCTCAAGTTCCTCCTCCTGTCTCTAACCAGCTGTGACCAAAAATTGTAACACGTGACCACTTTGTGCTCAGCTTCACCTGAAAAACACAGATGAACACCAGCCCAGCTACCACACAGGTTACTGAGCTTAAAATATGATAGATGAGAGAAGGATTTGTGGAAGTGAAGGGTCAATTAAACTTGTAAGAAGCTATTCCATTATTATTAAAAAAAACCTCACTGTAGATAAAGTATCCGGTAAATCAAAACTTGTACATTTCTGACCCCAGAGCCATGCTGATAAACCTTCTTACTCTGAGGTCTTCACCTCATGTCTGTGCCTTTACAGTTCACTGACTTGATGCAGTGAATTTAATTTCTGGGAAGTGGAGCTTTTAATACAGTTACTGACAACCCCAGAACTGGTGCCAGGGCTCTTAACAACCAACCATGCAAGATGAAATGCCGAAGGATATGAAATTTTGGCGTTTTGAAAAGTTCTTTCTTTTCTTGAGTCTAAACTATTGTGAACAGAGGTACTTAAGTTCAATTTATTGGCAAACATCTTCAGAGAATTCAGCTTTATGGAATTTTTATATCAAAAAAATAAGCTTGGCAGAGGGAGAAATTTTGACAATATACCCACTATTTCTCAGTAAAAAATCCTAAACTTGTATTGTTTTGTAACCAATGGTCTATCTTCAGATGATAGTGGAGGGAGTGAGATCATTAAAACAAACCAAGTAACTATTAGACTAATAATTTTTCTCTCAAATCAGTGAACTCCTAATTTGTTATTTTTATATATAATTATTTATGACATTTCACCAATGTAAAACACACTTTTTCATATTTTAACATCTATGAAATCTTATAGTAAATTTTGCTTTTCACCCTTTCACTTATAATTGCCAGGACTGATTTTTTCCCCATCTGAATGATACTTAATATATAATGTATATCCTCACTGCATATAATATGAGTGTATTTTATAATGGAGAGTCTATGAAATACGGCATTTCATTTAAAGAATATGGAAACTGTGAAACCTGTATTGAAATTTTTCCCTTTATAATCTTCCTATCAAATCTCAATATAACGAGTGTGATACATTTTCTGCCTCAGAAATATTTGAAGTTTGCCTTAGAATTCAGTCATCTGTTCTTTTTTGAGAATAGATGCATCATTAGAAAAGATATAATTTGAGATCAAAGAATAGAAACTAGATTTAGAAATAAAAGTACAATGCAGTACAATGAAAATTAAACAATCTCCTTTCCATAATTACATTCTTGCAAAATGTCTTCACAGCACCTTGTGAGTTTCCTACCAGTCTGAGCTACTGAGCAATGTGGCAAGTGTCCTGGTTTCCAACCCCCAACCTGCTAAGCAAACATCTATCCTTTTGAAGACTCATATATCAGACAGATTGGTTCCATTTCTAGGAACCACTGACAATACCCCTTTTAAGATTTATTCACACAGACATTTGAATACACCTCCTACTCAGGTCCACACAGCATAATTATTGCCCGTTCTCTTGTCTTACCAGCTTGGTGAATGATTTGCTTAAAGTTTTCATTTACAGAGATGCTGTAAGGAAACAAAAGTATTGTGAGTCCAACAAGCTGTGTAAACAAATTAAAAGTTACCTTTTAATTAAACAGATGAGAGCAAATGTAGAGTTTGACTATTATAAGAGGACTTTTGGAAACCGATCAATAGCCAGATTGAAATTGTATTGTTTCATACTTTTAAACTGATATGTAACTTAGGCAATAGTAGAGTAATCCCGCAAGAACCCAGTTAAAAGGAAAATCCCTGCGTGTCACTCCTGGCCCCCCAGAGTTACTACCCACATTGTTTTCAAAGATCTTCGCAAGAGAAATATGTAAGGCCAAGGCCACAAGGAAACACTTACAATAATCCAGAGTCCAGCCACTGCTGAATGCTTTCTTTTTTGGAATCTTCTATAAATAAGAATGAAACAGTTCAGTCAGTTAAAGCATAAGAGCAAAAACAACCCTACCCCATCATTCAGCCACCACTTAATAGCTCTGTTTCCTACATATTTAGTCACATGCTTCCATAATCATATTCATTTCCCCCCCAAGGCAAAACTTGCTATTTTCCATCAGCCTTTGCTGAGAATGATGTGTAAACTTGCCAAAAAGACTTTAACTTGAAAAAAAGAAGAGGAAAGAGAAAATGTGAAAGGGAAGAGAGAAGTGAACAGAGAAGGAGAATTATTAGAATAACATTTACATTACCTGGTGTGACTATGAAGGGAATATAGGAGACTTTTGTCTCCCTCTTGTTGGATATAAATCACCATAGAGCCTGTCCTTATTGAATCACAGCATTTACCTGAGGCAGCTAGCCAGTGATATTTATTTGCAAGGAGTTCTCTGCCAGGTTAGAAACCAAATTTGCATTCATTCCAGAGACAAATTGCATGAGAGTCCCAGAATTGCCAAAGGCACCCTGTGTTAAAAAGGCACCAGTCTTTTAAGGTGGATCTTTATCATGGGCTGAACAAATAGTCAACGGCAAAAATGAGATTATATAAAGGCAACATTTCCTGTTAAGTATTTGCTTCCATTTTAATTTGCTATAGTCTCCTGTGGATTGACTGTCTTTGACTTTATTCTACCACCAAGGAGGTGCCTGAATTAACCCCTCACAAGCTGCCTGGTGAACCAACAGAGCAAGGTGTACATGAAGGATGCTTTTTCTTCCGTGGAGGTTATGTGAAGGGACAGAATGATTCGGGAGGTGAACAAAGAAGATAAACCACCAGTTACATGATAGTAGAGGGAGAAATATTTCCTTACTTTATTATTCTTTAGACTATTATCATGGTTATTAAAGCTTCATAGGAGACCCAGCAAATAAGTGCCTTTCAGCAAAGTGTTTGCTGTTTTGCAGGAAACCTCAGGTGCATGGCATGAACTCCACATTTTCAGAGCCCCAGGGGACTTAAGATGAGGGGATGCTGGAGTGGAAAGGAAGCAGACCATTTTATTTTATTTTTCTAAAGATATATTTATGCACCCAAGAACTTGGGTACAGGCCAGAGGTAGGGGGGTGGGGGTGAGAGGATTCACCAGACACAGAGTGAGGAACAGAACAGGCAGATCTACTGATAATAAACTGATGAGGGGAGCAGCGAACAAGACAGAAGAGGTCTGCTGTGCCATGTGGGTAGCTCGCTGCCCGTCCGGGGATTGAACTTGTGCCCAGAGGCTGCAGATAGCTTCATAGTGCTGTGCTTAACCCCTTGCGCCACCAGGGAGGCCCAGAAGCAGACCATTTTAAAGATTTATTTATTTATTTTATACAAGAACTGGGGTACAGGTCAGAAGCGCGGGAGGGTGAGAGAATTCACCAGGGCCAGAGTGGGGAGCAGAACAGGCACACGGAGCGAAGACACTGCTGAGGGGAGCAGCGGGTGAGGCAGGAGAGGTCTGCTGCGCCATGTGGGGTTCTCCCTGGCCGGCGGGGAATCGAACCGGCCCTGCAGAGTCTGCGGACAGCTTCGCAGCGGGGCGCTCAACCGCTGCGCCACCGGGGAAGCCCAGACCATTTTAATTGGCTACAATGCCCTGTGGGTTGAGTGTCTTTGACTTTATCCTGCCACCAATGAGGTGCCTGCATTAACCAACCTCGCTTGGTCTATGTCCATCAAAAAGGTCTATGTCCTGGGTTTCTGTGGGGAAGTCGGAAGCGCCCACTTCATAGTCCTATCTAACATTATGCCGCAAGACTGGACTCTTCAAAGTCAAGCCCTTGTTCCAAAATGTGTTTGCTCACAGCCCAAAGCCCCCGCATCTCTCACCACCCACAGCAGGACTTTTTTAAGCAGCCCTGGAGGCCCTTCTCACCCAGTATGGGATCCATATGACCCTGACTTTCCTCCTCAGAACCGGGAGGCAGCTGCTCATCCAGCGGAGCCCAGGCTGTCTTTGTGGACCACAGGATGCCTCGTCTGCCCTTTTCCTGGCCTCCTTGAGGGTTGTCAGATCCGTGAGCCATCTCCGCCATCATGAGAGTGATTCGGGAAGCTGATTTAAGACATGCACACGAACAAATCAGACACGATGAGCTCAGCTTTCGGCTTGGCTCAGTGAGGTTGGCTAGAATGCTCACAGTCCAGTGGGTGGGTCCTGCTTGATAACCCTCAGGATCCTCACTCACCCACCTGAGCTGAGTTTCCTGATTCAGTTGGTGAAATGTTTCCCTTTCAATGAATAGGAGCTGGAGATGTGGCCTCATGGGTCACAGGGCCACAGCTGTACACTCTGTCAGGTTCAAGCTGGTAGTGTTGGATATGGAGAGCACAGAAGTGGACTGGAGGGCCCACTTCGCCAAGGAGAAAGTTTCAAAGCATTGATTAACATAATAAGTATTCTTCAGTTTTATTCAACAGTTACATCCATTAAAACAGTTTTAGGGATGCAAATTGTTATGGAAAATGAGAGCTTTTGCAACAGATCTGCCTGACTGCCTACTGAGTCTCAGCTCTGGAACTTGTTCTCAAGGTGGGAATAAACTGTATTAACTGGTAATAACAACCTCAGGTGAGTTCTCTGATTATGTTCTGTTATTATTATGGCTATGTGTCAAACCGTATGCTGAATTCTGTACATCCATTATTAATTTAATTGTCAATGAAGGAAGTTACCAAATGGTCACACTTTTATGGTAAATTGAAGAGCAGGGGGGTGAAGTTGCAGACCCAAAGCCACACAGCAACAGGGATTCAAACCCAGCACAACTCCAAGTATGTTACCATGACTGGTAAAGCAATCAACTAACAGGAAAGCAACCATCTCCCCTGCTACGTGGTGGAGACAGCGTGCATATCATTATGATATAGTTATATCATGCACATTGTAAAGGATATACTGCCTGCCTCTGTTATCTTACTTGACCTTTGTTTGCATCCTTTTAGAGCCACTGTGGAAATGGTTAAAACTCCCCAGATCCTCTGAACATTGAAAACAATGACCTCACTCTTACTTCGATGTATCTGTAGTATTTGATTGCATTCTCGGCTCAGAGCAGGTGCTAAGTAACAATAACAGTAGCAGAGCTAGGTTGCCAAACTACTTTCTGACTAAATTCTTTCCATGGCATCTACTTGAATATATGCATGCATTTATTCCTCAAATTTAGAGAAATTGCCAAATAGTGAGATGTCAATGTCATCAACATTTCTGTCATTCCTAAAATTATGCATAATGATTGATCACATGACACACATGGCATCCCTTCTAATCATCATTTCAACATAGCAAGTCACATTTAATGTAAACATTAAGTATTCTCTTTTAAGAATAAGTGAGCATTCTAGATGTAATTAGTAGTAAGAATCTCCTTATAAGCTTTATATATTAAAACCTATCAGTCAGTTTAAATATAAATACACATGCATTAGAAAAATAATTGCAATAGAAATATAAGTAGATTTCTAAATAATTGCAATAAAATAAAAATAAAAGAAAGGCAATAGAAAAGAATTGAAAAGACTAATGACAGTTGTGATAACTTAATTTTATGTAAAAAATGCAATTACTGAAATTCAAATTAATTAAAATTAAGGTTGACAGCTAATATTTATATTAACAATAAGTATTTTGTCAATTGACCTTAGTAAGTTAATTTCAGGGACATAATCTGTGAGCAAATTAATGTTTATAAAATTTTTGATTATAACAGAAGACAAACATTATAGAGACAAAATTATATTTCTAACCACTTTAGAGTTGTATGGTATACTAGAATTTCTAACACTGGACAAAGTAAATGTTAGGAACTTAAATTTTAGGTAGCTTTTGGGTCTTTGGAAGAAAAAAAATGGCTTTCTTCGGCATCTTTGGCAATGCCTTGAGTCTCGTGAGCATGAGTTGCAATCAGAGCATCAACTCTGACAGTACAAAATTTCACAAGAAGGAAAGTCTCCAAAATCGTACTCAACAAAATTCATGAAACATCAGACTCAGTTAAGGATCAGGGTGTGAAGAAAAGATAATATATTATGGAAAAATGAAATCCCCAAAAGAATCTTGCTCCGCCACTGACCTCAGCCAAAAGTGAGTTTCTGTTTAGCAGGGAAGATTTTGCTGGTAGTGGCAGCAGAAGCTGTGAAGCAGCTGAGATTCCTCAAATGGCTGCTTCTGTGCTATAATGTCAAATTTCACCCCAGCTACCACTTTTTCAAATGGAACCCTGTAAAAACCATGAAGCTTCTTAGATAAAGGTTCTGCTTTTTCTTATGTCCCCAAACTTCCATTCTGCAACGGCAAATTTGACCTCGGCAACCAGCCTTGCACAACCAGTGAGGATAAGCTCCTGCCAGCTCACTTGTATTTGGCTTTAGATCAGGAAAACGCTTGCCAAGGAAAGTGGGAACCCTTGCTAAAGGCAAGGGTGAGGGACCGGTTTGTAAAGAAAAACTCTTTTGTCCCCTCTGTTTTAGTGGATGCCTTCCCAGTTAGCAAACAAATCTGCTGCTGGAAACAGAATCTCGATGCCTGGGTGACCTTCCTTTGGCATCCGCTGTCTTGCTCCTCCAGGGCAGACCTTGGGAAAGGGACACAGATCAGGTGGCAGCCCTGAATTGCCCAGTGTACTGACAGGGCAGAAGTTATGGCATGTGGCCACTGCTGACTCCTCTAGTTAACCCCTCTGTCCCCATGACTATTTGGAACCAAATTCTTACTAACTTTGACTTAACCCAAAGTGAATCCTCTTCCTGGGTGATGTTGTCCCCTGGGCTCAAAGGTCTCTCTCTCTTCAGATCCCTTCTATTCTGATTACTATGCCATTAATATTTATGTGCATAAAGAACTCCCACTAACATGAGAAATTTCAGTGTTATCAAAAGAGGATACAAAACTCTCTAAATGGGGCCTCTTTGGTGGCGCGAGGGGTTAAAGCCCCACACTATGAAGCAGTCCCCAGCCTCTGCAGCTTGAGTTCCATCCCTGGCCAGGCAGGGAGCAACCCTCATGGTGCAGCAGACCTCTCCCGTCTCGCCCACTGCTCCCCTCAGCAGTGTACTTCCGTCCATCTGCCTGTTCTGTTCTCCACTCTGTCTCTGGTGGATCCTCTCATCTCCCACATATCTGGCCTGTACCCCAGCTCTTGTATGTATAAATAAATAAATCTTTAAAAAAAAAAAACTCTCTAAATGCACCAAGAACTCAATTTTGTAATAGCAAAAAAAAAAAAAAAAAAAAAAAAACAAACCCACAGTAACAAAAAACCATAATGTATTAAAAAAACAAACAAAAAAAGAAACGTACTGAAATGTTATCACAATTTTAAAATTTGAAAAATAAGCAAAGTGAGAAAAAATGACTGTTACATTAATTTTACACTGCATTTTCTTTCACTTGAGCAAATTCAACCTTTTAAGTGCCTTATCATTTTGAAGATTTCAGTCCACAGTGAAACCATAGAATTTAATAATTTGATACTTAGAGCAGTTATCATGATTAAATTCTTGTCCTCTGGGGTTACTTAACTTTTTACCCCTCTATGCAAGTGGACTGTCTTGCCAAACAGGTTGTTCTGTACTGAGAGAATAGGGACTGTGCTTTATCTCTGCATTCCCCCTTGATTCCTGTGCTGCACTTTTCCCAGGATAAATAATCTGTAACTGATAGCTGATTGCTTGGTTATTTGGGAATGAAACATCTAATTGGTTAAGCCAGCATTCTTGGTTCTTATATGATTAAATAAGCAAGTGCTTTCAGGTCAGATAACTCAAAATTTTAATCTGAGTTCAGCTGGCTTTTCTAATATTTTCTTGGGGAAATTTTCAAATATCTTTGACAATCTATTTGTTCATTGCTATAATGAGTATGAAACAACCAGTTCTTCGGTGGGGAGTAGAACAGGCAGATGTACTGAAATACACTGCTGAGGGGAGCAGCAGGCGAGACAGGAGAGGTCCGCTGCGCCATGTTTAAAACAATCAACGCTTAAGTTGATCAGTTTTTTTTTTCTTTTCCTTTTTTTTTTGTGTTGTCTCCTATTTTTGTCCTGTCAAGAACTGTGAAGAGCACTAAATTCTTTATTTTTCCTTGACTTCTACTTGAGCCTCTGTGTAATTATAGTATTTCTTCATCTTAATAAATGGCACCCCTATTCAGGCAGTTGCTCAGGTCAAGAAATTGAGACTTCCTTGATTCCTTTATTCCCTTCACCTCTCATGAAAGCTATTAATAAAAGAGAGGGTGGGGGTCTTACATTATTCTCAGACCAACCACCTCTACTGCATGGACTTGGTGTGAACCAGACGTGTAGTATCACTTAGATCATGGCAAATGACTCCAGTTATAAAACTATCTTCACTTCCCTTTCTTTCATACCCCACTCCAATCAGGATGCTAATAGTCAACTCTCAGTTCTTATCAATTCAGAATTTTTAGCAGCATTTAATATAGTTAACTACTTCCTCTTAATGGAAAACATTTTTTTAACTTTGAATTCGATGGTCTCCCAGATTTCCTCTTGCACTGCTCAAAACTCTTTCTCAAGTTCGTTTGCTGGTTTTCTCCATTATATTGCTGAAGTCTGAGTGTTTTATACCTCAATCCTCAGCCCCCTTTCATCCTCTCTATCTTCGTTCTCTCCCTATGTAACTCTGGCTTTAATCATTCCTCTATAATCCCACAGTTTAACGTAAAACTCAACTAAAGTATTTTCGCAAGCCTGTGTTAACTATTCTGGGATTTTCTTCAGGACAGAAATCTTAGCTCTCATATCATAGGTGTAAGGAAAATTTACTCAATAAATATATGTTGAATAAATGACTAGTTAAATAAATGCCAACAAGGAACTGAGAAGTATCAAAGCAAATTTAGTTTTGTAATCATTAAGAATGGTTTGGTATTTAGTAAATAACTTCTCAGAAGGTGCAACTTGCCAAGAATAAGCACACAGTATCAAGAAGTAATGCACTGTACATCTGAGCTAGAAAAGTGTTAAGATTATGTACATACATTCACACATATATATATATTCTACCTCCCAGT